ACTTACCAGTAATTGGCTCTGCATCCTCATTATCCACTGGTGCATACTCCTCTCCTTCCACATACTTGTCCTCTATGACATCCTCGGCCTCTGCCAGGAACACTCGCAGTCCCAATGCTGGTCGCTTTGGTGGTGGTGGCAACTGGTCTCTGTTCAGATTCCCTTGCTGCTGCCCTGCTGGCTTCACCTTACAGTCCCTTGACATATGTCCCATGCGCCCACAATGGCGACACACAATCCTTGCACTTGGGCAGTGTGGTTTCAAGTGCCTAGATTGCCCGCAGCCATAGCACACTCGCGTGTCAATACTGCACAGTCCGGTATGTGGTCTCCCACACTTGCCGCACATCGGCAATCTTCCATGACCCTGAATGGTCCCACGATTATCCTGAATTTGCCTCGGAGCTTCTCAACTCTGATTGTCCTAGCTTGGGAACCCCTCATCAACTTAGCTTCATCATCAATTCCTTTTTCAGTCAATGCAGCCTTTTCAACCAAATCAATCACTGAGGCAAAATCCAGAAGCTGGCAATGATTACGAATGTTCACTCTCAATCCGAGCATGAACTTTTTCATGAGACGAACCTCATACATCTCCCTTCCTGCAAACCTCTTCAGACGGTTGAACTCTTGAGCATAATCTCTCACGGTACGGTTCCCCTGTTCCAGTTTCAAAAAACTCTGCTTCAAGCCTGTCTTTAGCCTCCTGTGGAAAGTACTTCCGATTGAACTCATATCTAAAGTCATTCCACTGTAACATATCCCCTTCTTCCCGCCTGGCAGTCAATCCTTCCCACCATTCGTGGGCTTCATCCCTCAAGTACAGAACTGCCAATTCTAACTTGTACCCCATTAGGCACCTTGCTGATGCAAAGCTGCGTTCCAACAACTTCCTCCAACGGTCTGCTCTGACTGGATCGGTCCCACCAGCGAAAATCTCCATGCCCAACTCTCTCATCATCCTCATCACATCATAGTAGGTTGGCATTTGCGGACCATAACCTTGCACCTGGTGTGGCATTGGCATTGGAGGTGGGGGCAGCAAGTCCTGGTATGCACCATTCTCGGGGATAGGATACTGCCCCGCAGCTGCGCCTTGAGCCACTCCCGGAACTGCTCCGGCCACTGGAAGTCGCTCCAACAACGGTCCAAGCAACTGCTGAATTCCTTGCATCACAGCTGCTCCCACTGCTGCGCCAATAGCCGCAGGATCAACGGCCTGGGCTGCCACTGCTAGCACTGGGGCTCCTTCAGGCACATTCTCATCCACAACCATTGGAACTTCATTTGCTGGGTTAACTGCGTTCCTGTTCTGATTACCGTTCCCCGTTACCGTTGCATCTTGGTCCCACCATTCTGAAAAGACAAACACATGGATCAGAACCCCAACCTTGAAGAAAACAAACAGGGTAACTTCCACTTAGGTCAGTGGTGTTTAAATTTTTAAAACTCCCCATATACCCGTTTAGCAGAAAATAAAATATTACTATTTATAAAAATAATAAGGTTATTAGTTTTAAATAAGATTTTTTTTTTATCAATAAAAAAATTTATATCTAAAACTAAATATTCAAAAAGATATATAATTCTGAAATTAATATATATGTACAAAAACCGGAGCGGAAACATATTTCATTTTAGAACCGCTTTCCGGGTCAGAACCGGCTTGGAAACCTTACGCTCTGATACCAATTGAGAGACCCCAATCTCGCTGTCTTAGTCGAGAGTGGTCCTCGTGCGTTTAACTACTTTTAAAATATACTAACATATTAAATACACATTAAATGTCTAAAATAACTTTATTGAAAACCGATCCGGAAACTCGAACGTCTTAACAAATAAATTCAAGAAAAATAATAAAAACGCATGAGGAAGATATAAATTGGAAAATCTTTAAAGAAAGCCAAAAAAATAAATCGCCTCTAGTACCCGGAAATAACACCAAAATGACCTGCCGCAAGTCTACTCGTCAGTCTCACTTGAAAAGGAAAAGATGGATGAGTATTCCAAGAATACTCAGTGAGGAGCGCGCTAGAGAGCTCGCGAGACCCTTAGGATACACTAATTGAAATAATAATATAAATATACTAAATACAGTAATTAAACACAAGCAATCAACCTACATAGAATTTCTAGCATTTCCATATATAAAGTCAAACAATCTCAACCTATAATTATTTGTTTCATAACAAACATCTTATCAAGTCTATAACACATTCCCAAGGATCCACCGTCCAAGGTACTCAATCTTTGCCACCGCCCATTCCGGATTTGACATATAACATGGTGCCACCGCCCACTACAGGGTTTGACAACGGCTCGTCAGCCCCTTCTCGATCACTACAACTTCATAATTGTCTCTCGTTGTAGGCCGTCAAACAACACTGACACTACGGCCAGCGGTACAAACATTGAGTCCTATTATATCTCTTAATTACTTATAAACCAATCATCATCAATTTCAACATCAAACATCAATCAAATCTAATTCCTAGATCAAGCATACAAACATCACTAATTCAACTAATGAATCTTCATGAACAATAAACCAATCCTCACCTTAGAGTTTGGTTGGAAAGGAGGAGTCGGGAAAGACGGTTACTGCGGATGGCGGATGGAAACTGCGATAAATAGGCTCTGAAATTAGAACTTTCCTAAAATAGAACTTTTCTAAAATGGAAGCTTTTCAAAAATAGAAACTTTCTAAAAATTGAAATTTTCCAAAAATGGAACTTTGCCAAATTAGAATATTCTAAAACAAGAAATTCTTAAAATAATTAGGGTTTTTGGATTAGGGTTCGAGTTGAATTGGACAACAAGTCATTGTAAAAATTAGGGTTTTCTAGTTAACAAGTTGGCGAATCTTGGGCAACAAGCAACAGACATACAAACTAGGGTTTACCTTTTTTGACAGGTCTGACTGGTCCGGCAGCTTCCCTGACATGTCCTCTAACTAGAACCATCACGGTTTGACCAAACTAACACGGATCTGTTTGGAATTGCATACCAAAAACTCAACTCAGATTCTGGAAAAATGCAATTCTGCAACTAGGGTTCATAAACTCAGAATTTAACACATCTGCTTGCTTGGGAAGAAACGATTGTAAATCACCGAATAATGAATCAAATCGAACGATCTCAAATTCTATAGAAACTTCGGAATGTCCTCTTTCCAACGGTACCACGATCAGCCTCTGAGTCGTCGGGAATCTAACCCGCAACCTCTGATGAAAAACCGAAAAACTTAGGTTTCTGCATTTATATATATTGGTCCGCGCAGATTTAAATAGCGATAACTCACAGAATATACCTTTAAATCGGACGATTCAAGAGGCGTTGGATAGCTAAAACGATTATCTTTCCAATGACACCAAGATCGTGATGTAGATCGATCGGAGTCAATCGGAAACTGGCTCGAAAGTCGGCGGCGCGGAAGGCTATTAGTTGCTTTGCTGGAGAAATTTTGGCAGAGTTTCGCTTATAGCTTTTCTGTACATTCTATGTAGCTGGTCGAGTCCTTTACATAGAGGATGAGAGTTAGTAGCAATTAGGGTTAGAGTTAATATGGGCTTTAACTTTTGAGTTTTAGACTTAAGAATTTAAAATTAAGTTTGGAAAAGAATTGAGTTTTGGGGAAGTTGGGATACCACACGTGGTCACCGTAAAAAGATGGGATCTGTCAAGCTGAAGAATTTTGTGAGGGATATGATTTCTTGAACTACGAGTCTACAATGATTGTGAACTTGCTTCTAGCCCCGGAACTTTAGAGGGAAACAAAAGTTATTTCCTGTGAACGTTGATGAGTATATTGAACTTTAGCTCTACGATCTCTCATAATTAAATGTCTTTTTAGCTAGATTAAATTTTCCAATTAATTTCAAAAAGTGACTCTAATGGATTCATATAATTAATATTAGATTATGAATTTATGATCTGTGTATATATGCGGATTTATAATAACAAATTTTTAAATTAAAAAAAGTAGAAATCAAAATCAATTCATTAGTAAAAAATTATATTAAAAACATAAAATTGAAATCTAAAAATTATTTATTTTAATTCTATTTTGCATTTAAAATATTCAAAATAGAGAATCTATTGTGCATCCTAAGAGCACATTTAACACGATGGGTATCTCAAATAAATTAAACTAATCAGAATATAAAATTTGATTATACACGTTCTAAACATATCTCAAACAAGATACGCTTCTCTATCTCTCTCATTTTTTTCTATTATTTTGTATTTTTTTAATTATTAAAAATTGGGTTATATCTAGACCAGATCATGTCGCAATCTGAATCGAGTCACTTACCACATATCGCAATCATGTGAATTTCTAATTTTGATGCATCTAATTTTATATAATTAAATATCAAAGATAGCATCAAAAAAATTTTTGAAATACCCTAAAATAAACCATGTTCAAAATATAAGGAAAAAAAAGTTGATTTTTTTCTGAAATATTTTGACAATAAACTACTTCCACAACTAAAATGGATGGACGTGAACCAGTGCGCGGAATCGGAACTGGTGCACGGAATTGTTGTAGAATGGTTTGTTTGAAGGCCATGGCTACTAGATTATTTGCTCCTGGAATTCTCCTTTATCGTAAAACTATCTATCTTTTCTTCTTTAATTGACCACTTTTCAAGGATACTTAGAATCTCTATTAGTATATTTTATTCTTCTTGTTGTATAATGCCCCTGGTTTCTTCCTCATTGAATTATCCGCAGTGTGGTAATGCTAATTGCTAAGTGAACTTTTTCGAAATTGTTCTGCTTCTTCTATCATTGTAATGAAGTTATAAACAACATTAGTGAAGTAAAAACACTTTTTTGTTCTTAAAGATATCTTTATTTTTTAGCATCACACCACATTTGCATGTTGATGCAGTACGTTGCCCTTGTTTTAATCATGCAGTTGTATTTAACGACCTATATACAACACTGGTGACACAAGGCCTTAAAAAGAATTGGTGGTGGTAGGCATCATCTCTTTACCGTCTTACTGAATTGATACATAGGAGATGATGGTACAAGGCGATACACTATTATTAAACAGAACCTTAATGTTACAACTTTCAAGTGGATGTGTCTGCTCTTGTTTTATTTGAGAAAGTTTCCATAACACAGACACTGTTAAACAGACAACTCTTTCATCAATCGATGTTGTTGCTCTCATCACTAACAACCAAAAGCATCAGGAAATAGGGAAAGTAGAAGACGTGTCGGAGAAAGCCTTGTCTAGTAGAGGAGAAAGCGTAAGGAATGATAAGCAGCAACAAGACTACAAAGAATATTGTATCTATGGCTAATACCAAATGCGAAAGCCATGGGAGATTGCTTACAACAAGAGTAACTCCAGCCACAAATGCCATTGCCATTGATGCAAGAGCGGTTACAAGAAGTGGTAAAGCTAGTTTCAAAGCTTTCTTTGTCAGTATAAGATCGCCTAGTTGTGCCCAGATAAGAGCCACTATAGTTACCACAGAACTGCACATTGAAATGCTGTTGAGCAAGATAAAAACCTTGAAATTCATTTGATTGACCAATGCAGCCATGCCTAAATCTGGGGCAGAGTTTATGTAACCACCAGGTAATGTGAAACCTGCAGTGAATGTCACAGTTGCTACAAGTGTTGCAGTCACCATAAGAGTATTGAAACTATCTTTGTAAATTTCTGGATTTTCTATGAGACTCGGTGAAACACTGTCCAGGGGAATCGCTTTTGGACCATTTGGTGCACCAGCAGATACCAAAGCCATCCAAGTCAATCTCTGCAAACCAAATAAAAGCAAGTCATATTTATAGCATCATTTACACATGCATCTACAAAAGTTGACATACCTTGCGAAGTACGTAAGCACTGTCCTTTAACGCCTCAGCGATATCTAGAGCTGTAGAGCCATCATTATTCATTGTTGCTAGCTTAACGTTGTAGTTCCACGTAAGAACATTCACAACCATCGGGTGTTTCTGTTTCGTGGCTAGATGTAATGGAGTATTTCCATCCAAGTCTTGTTCATTCATCAATCTTTTATGTTCATCAAGTTTTAGAAGATACTTGACAACTTTCGACTTACCAGTTTTGGCAGCAACATGAAGAATATTCTGACACTGACTGTTAAGTAGCTCTACAGAGTCAGGACAATGTTTAAGAAACTCTTTTATTATTTTGACATGTCCTTCTTTCGCTGCCATATGAATCGGAAAGAATCCATCATCATCAGCGACATAACAGACACTTGAAGCTGCTTTGTTGAAGTCTGATAGTATATAGCGGATTCCCTCATAAAATCCAATTGATGCTCCGATTGAAAGACACGTTCTTCCTTCTTCGTTGCGTAATTCAATAAGTGCTGGATCATGACGAAGAACAATACCAAGGATATCTGCCAACCAATAAGGTAATATCAAAATTGGCGTAACGTCGTAAAAGAAAAATACATATATGCAGAGCCCATTAAACATACATATGTACAAACCTCTTCTCTTGGCCCTCATTGCTGCATGTACAACAGATTTTCCGCAATACATCAAAGGTAACTTAGATGGGCAAGATGAAGATTCAAGCATTTTTGCCACGAGCTCACAATATCCAGCTTCTACAGCCAAATATAACGGAGAAACTCCATCGTTGTTCACATAAAGTGACACATCATGCCTCACACTTAAAAAGATAGAAAGCAACATCTTCATGTTTTTCTTTCAAAGACATATCGTCCTTGCTTTTAGCCGAAATTAACATATCACACATCAAAGACTCTGTTATGAATGGAACAAGAAACTCAATAATATTGAGATTGCCTGCTCTAGCTGCAACATGAAGAGCACTCTCATCCATCAAATTTATTTTTAAAACAAGATTCGGGAATTTAGAGACTATATAGTCAACTAAATCTCCATGACCCGAGGCAGCAGCTATATGAAGCAGCGAGTTCCCATGATGGTTTACGAGTCGCTGAATGATCTTTCATCATCTTTTAACCTTTTGAGGAGGGATTCTTTGTCACCTGCTCTTACTGCACACAGTATCTTTGTGCTCATAATCTCGGATTCATCAATCTCTACCGGAAGAGTCAACGTCAACTGATTTGGATCTGAAAGGGAACCAGTGGATGTGCTCCCTGAGTCAGATTTGATGTCACACTTCATGGTCTTGCTCGTTGCTACTTCCTTCCCCAACAAAGTTCAATAGCTTAAATCTCCTGATCAGAATAAGGATATTCAGATACATGAAGATGCAAATTGGAAGACCGGAACACGGCTAGAGTTGACAACATCATTTAATAACTAAATGGGAGAGAAAAAATAAACATAACCTGAGCCGTTTGAAATCCAGAGGATGAGCGAAGAAGAAGAAAGATTGCACCAGAGATTTTCTTTGAGTGCTGTAAACTCTGCCAGCAATTGGTAGGAACTTTCACTTTTTACAAAGTCAAAGCACAAACTGTTGCAAGTGTGAAATGGACTCAGAATTCAAACGCTTTGTTAGAAATTGGCTCTCTTCTTTTTCCACAGACTTTTCTTCGATAATTTTTCCACACCGACACTGTGCAAGGAGAGAGAGATCATGCAGCTTTGAATTTAAGGTGGAGAACAGTATGAGAGGCTAATTGAGTTCAGCAAAAGCTTAGATCTTAGTTTTTAAGTAGGATGCTGACTATATTGTCTAATTTTTTTCGTCTTGTCTTGATGATAATAACTAAAAATCTCACTAAATCAAAAGTGGCAAAATAATATGTAAAACATATGCTGTATAAAAAAAAAGCTAAGCAAAGCATATGTTAACTTTTAAAAATGTTCATGGGTTCGAGATCAGTCGATATGTAAAATTTGCATTGATTACTGACAACAGAGACATTATCTTATCATACAGGACTAAGATGAACAGTGACGAGTAGTGTAGATAAGTTAAGTTCAAATACAGATAGAGAAAGAAAAAAAGAGACCTATAAACAGAGAATAATACAACTTCATTGCACAGTGCGCTTTAGGCATTGCGACCATTAATGGTTGGGATGCTTCTAACACCGTACTAATATCGGGTCTATAATTTTGTTTGTACAACTTGATCTTCCCTGTGTACTGTTGTGCGAATTCATTTACATACAATCGGGTCTATATTTTTGCAGGGTCCACACCATGGTGCCCAAAAGTCAACAAGAACATCCTTAACTGTTTTTGCTGTGTTTGTGTGTGTATATGTATTGGTGATTTGGGGTGCTTGATCAGTGCCGTGCCTAGGTTCAATAGGAGTTGAGGAAAATTTAACAATTAATTTTAATATAAACTTTTATAGTAAATATAATCTGGTTTTTTATAACTAATATATAATCTAGTTTTAATTTTTAATATAAACTCAAATATAATCTAGGTTCATCTATATTATTATTTGAGAAGTGAGAAACGCTCCGCAGCTCCTTTTAGAGGGGTTAGCGCCTTCTGCTCTTAGTGGAAATATTCCGAGTTAAATTAAGTCAATTGGTTTGGTTTGGTTCTTATTGATAAATTGATTGGTATTGTATTTTAACCTTTAAACCGTTTCTCATATGATTTTTTTTGGGGCTTTTTGAAATTATCATCCAATGGATCCTTTGAAAAACTTGGCGGCCTCTCGAAATTATATTACAAAATGAAAACCCTAGATTTTTCATAGCTATATATACTCGCATATATCCCATTCATCTAGACGATTGCTTGGGTTTATTTGTTGGTTACTATTGTGTATGTCATAGTTTATAGTTTAGCTTTTGTTTCATGCATTATGTTTTGTTTCTTGCGTTCTAATTTCCTGTTCTTTGTTTTCCGTTGTTCCGGAGGTAACTTGCAAGCGAGGAAAGCTGTTTATGTTTCATCGTTTCGTTTTGGTGATAGAACTTCAAGGCTTATATCTGTTGGTGGTCGTGAGTTCGGTTTGCATAAAAGGTATTGCTTCTTATGTTTTTTACCGTTTCGAATCATCATATGCTGATTACAATTAATGCTTTGTCATAAAATAGAGTTTTTATTTGTTTATTGTGTTGTTTTCCTGATGATGTTGTTTACTGCTTTGTCTTTTTCGTTTTGGTTGTATAAATCTACTTTTGCTCTACCATATTGTTTTTTTTTGTGTATCTAAATTTTGTTTCTTTATACAGTCAGCATTCTCAGATGACTATCTTGCCTTTCCATTTACCAAGAAACCAGGATAACATTTTCTCGGACGATTTTACACCACCTGCTCCTGGATATTATTTTCAAACGTCTCAGTTCCAGGGTTGGATGGACTACAACAAACATCATCCTGAGTCGAAGCATATTTTGTATACTGAATTCCCAAATTGGTTTGTTTAGCATAAGAACATTAGAAAATGGCTACCACGGCGTCGTTGTAGGTCTAGGAGAAGTGGTGTAGTACTTCCTTGTGTAAGGCCAGAAAGTGGTGAGATCTATTATCTCGGGATGTTGCTAGCTGTTGTCAGAGGAGCAACGTGTTTTGAAGATATTAGAACGATTAATATTGTTTTATATCCATCCTTTGCTGGGGCCATTGGAGTCTGTTATGATTTGAGATTAGTCGAGCGACCTTTTCTTACGAAATAATGATTATTCTGGTGTTGGGTTTTGCGTTTATGTATTTTTCTGGCGTCGTCTGTGGTTTGGGTTTCTATATTTTGATATCTAATAAACAAGGCTTTTATTTACTGTCATATTATGTTTGATATTGTCGAAAACCATTTTTATTGTCTAATTTATACAATGTGGTTATGTGTTATTTTCGGTTTGTATGATTATGTGTTACTGAGGAAGATGAGACTCATCGTAATAGCTTGGTATATTTTTGGGCGTAAGGTATACGATATCATAAAAATATTATCGTTTGAGACATATAACTGTTATTATGAGTACTTGCATGTGAATTTTTGGTTTGGGTTAAGGTTTTGTGGTATTTGATTCTGTTAGATGTAGTTTTGGCTTCGGTATAAACCTTATACTACTTGTAACGTAACTTTGAGGATATTTGTATCATGCAAGATTTCGAGAATTTGCTGTGGCATGTGTTATATATGTATTATTAAGATTTGTTACAGTCTTTACTTTTATTTTATGGGTATACGTGTTATCGTGAGGACATATAGATGCTAGCGGTATATACGGCAGACGAAAATTTTGATTAGATAAATATCTAAGACTTTCTTATGTGACTGATATATGTGATACCTATTCGAGATTATATTATATCATGCAAAATTCAGAATATATTCTATAACATGTATTATATGTATACATATTAACATTTTTCAGATCTTTATCCTTATCGAAACTGTTAGTTTGTAAGTTTTATCCATATTGGACTTTCTCTAAAAATGTTATATGTTAATATTAAGGATATTGGTCTTATATATTGGATCATATGAAGTCGGTTATAATTAATGACTAATATTTAAATGAAACAAAAATGTTAGGATAATATCGTGGCTGTGTAGAATATTGTCAATATACTGTATCATGCCTTATAGATATTTTAAATATTTATTCCAATATTCTTCTTTACCGATATTATTACTTTGTGCATGTTTTGTATTAATACTTTTTTAAAAATAGAATATTCTATACATATATTTGAGAAATATATCGTATATTTATAATGTTTTAGGGAATATACTATAATTTTAGGACGTCAATCATAATTAATTACTTGATTTGGGTAATTATTTGCTATGGAATTTTTTGTGATAATGGCATACCTTTTCAGAATCGTTAGCCTTTAGATATATATATAGGATATGTATATCTTGCAATCCTGGATATAAGATACGAGGAAGAGCTAAAAATTTCATTTTTATTTTGAGAGTTTACAGAAAGTCCTTTGTTCTTGGTTTGATATATACAAAGATATTTTGCATTGTTCGAGTTGGATAATGTCGATTTTCAAGAGAAAGCCTGGTTCTTTGGTTAACATAAAAGATCTGACTCCACAGACTGATCGCTATAAGATAAAGCTTTGTGTACTCAAAATTTAGGTTAGAGTTGGGCAGATGATGGATGTCATGTTCGTTGATGCTCATGTGAGTTTTTACGTTTCTTCCTGGTCAAATTAATGTCGTCTCACTGTGTTGCATCTTCTTGAATATATGTTCGATTAACACTCCTAACTAATTATCAAGAGTGAGCGCATACACGCTACTCTTGATAAGAAGTGTGTAAAGAAATTTCAGGATAAGCTGGTTTGTGGTAGTGTATACATCATCGATACATTCAAGGTTGTTGAGTACAAGAGTGACTATCGGACAAATCGTCACCCTTATAAAATTTATTTTTATCACACCACGGAATTGAGTGAATGTCATGATTTCCCGAAAACCATTCCTGAGAAATATTTTAAGACGTTCGGCGAGATTTTGTCTACCGATTTGGATAATGCATACTTGATTAGTAAGTATTTGAAAGCAGTTATTATGTTAGTCACGTATCCATATGGTTCCTAAGTTTAGATTTGTATTTGTAGATGTCATTGGTCAGGTCGTAGGTTTGGGGACCGTTGATCAGGTTATGGCACAGGGGAAAATCAGCATGAGGCTTAAACTTACTCTTCGTGATACAAGGTATGGTAATTTGATCTGATTGTATTTTTCCGATTCTTATTTATACGTGGTGTTTTTATGATGTGGTTGTAGTGATCTTCGTTTGATGTGCACTCTATGGGATGATTATGCTACAGCGATGGCTGATTATGTAGCTGCAAATGCCGGCACCGTTGTTGTCTGTGTCATTAGACTTGCATGCATTAGAGAATATAGAGGTCTGTCTAACGTAATCTTTTCTGCGTACCCGAATATATAATATTCTCTTGTGGTGCGTTTGTTAAAGTCTTTTTTAATAAATGTAGGTGAGATTAGTATCTGCAATTCTTATAATTCGACTGATATTTTGTTTAACACCACTCTTGCGAAAAGTTTCATTAATGGGTATGTTTATTTTGATTGTTATATTATTGTGGTGTATTCTTTATATCCTAGATTTTTAGATTATATGTATCTAATTAATTTATTTGTTATTTCAGGCTATCTGATGATAAATTTAGTCTGGAGCCTTCTAATGAATTTGAGTCCATGGAGGTCGTTACGCATTTGTATGATGATTTCTTCGTTAAGACTGCTTGGAAGTCTTTGAGAACTGTACATGAGTCAACT